TAAATCCTGTCCTAGTTGTGTCCTAACTAAATTTTCTCTGCTTTGCGATGTTTGTAGCTTGGTTATGGTTGTTGATGTCCTGTCCTGCAGACACTGTTGGCAAGAGAACGTGCAAGGGCTGAATTCCAAGACTGGGAGAACAAGGAGGATGAGTGAGTTGTTGGTTAGATTATCTTGATTTAGTTACTCAGTGTGACATAGTCAACATGTTATTTTCAGTTGTTTGCTGAGCTTCAAAGAACATGATTATAGTATCTACCTCTGGTTAACTGAGATGCGTAATGTAGAGTTTGACTGTTAAAAAATGGAGGGACTCCACGACGACATCAAGATGCATTTGGATATGGAATGAACAACACAAATACACGTTAATTATTGGGAGGTACTATGCTTTTCCTTCTGCCTTCCCCTGCTTGTGTCCTAGAATCATTCTTTCTCTCAGGAACCAATTCTTTAAAACATAAAAGGTGGGTACGCTTTATTGGCCAAAAATTCAATGGTTAATGTATATTATTTTGTCGTTTCCTCGTTTCCTTTTGTTTCTACTTCTTAGATGGCTCATCTTTGTTCCGGGAACGCTACCCAGTTTTGCCCCCCTTTTCCCACTCCTCTTTCGTGCATAGCAATTCAGAATGTCCTTTCTCCCCCAATTCCCGGGATGGACAGCTCCTTTCCGTCAGTCCCCCTTTACGGGTTGCTTCTGCGACTCGCTGGCTCCTTCTGCACGCCAAGCCCATGCTCCCTGTCCGTCTTCCGGTCTCGCGCGAGGAGTCTGCTTTTTCTCTTCCAGTTTTCGTCGAAGCGGACGTTACTCCCCCATTCCCCAATTTCCTCTCCATGGAGCTCTCACCTACCGCCTCCCACTTTCCTCTCCACTGAGTTCTCGTCGACACTTCAATGTCATCTTCTTACCAACCCACCATGAATTACAGCGTCCTCTCCAAACTGGCGTGGACCGACAAAGCTCCGCCCCTGAAATTGCGCCTTCTCCAATCATGGATTGTCGGCAACCTAAAGCGCTAGGATGGCTTTGCCGAGTTTGCGACGTTGTGGACGAATGAGCTGGTGGATTTTGTCTCTGATCTATTCCCCACTCACTGGGTACCTTCCTCTTTCTTACTGGTCGTTCCTTTTTTTAGGCTGTACTGGTGCAGGGCCTTGCCGTGGAACCCAAAAGTGGAGGAAGAGGGTATCGATGTGGAACAGAAGGATCACAGTGAGAATGAAGGCGAATCGATAGCACAGAGGAAGACGAAGGAAGAAGAAGGAGAAGAATATAAAGTCTCATTACGCAGGCGATTACTTTTTCCCTCTAGGTACTGCTTCTTTTCTGAGTTTCCCTCTTACGTTTTTTGTTTTCCCTCTAGGTATCTTCTTTGCCAGTCTCTCACTTTTGTCGTTTTGATTATGTGGGTGATCTGCCTGCTCTGCTTAGGATAAGAGTTCTTAGAGGTTGGGAGGTGGGCAAGACTGTGACGGTAAGACTATGCTTTGGTTTCTCACAAATCCCTACTGATTTTCTTTCATTCTAAGAAATACTACTCTCCTGTATTTGTTTCCTGACAAAGCTTATATATTTTGAATTGCAGGCTTAGATGGGATTTCAGCAAATATGAGGGAATGCAACTAGGGGAACTTAAAGTGGTGTTGTGAGCAGATTAGGTGGATGTTGCTTCATGTTACTTAAAAAAAAACATTGGCGTTGTTCCTTCTTAATCACTTGATTCATGTTTTGCTAAAATGCAGCCACATTTTTAGGGAGTTGTGAGTTGCAATCAACGCTTTGAGTTGGGGAAGTCGAGGTTTCACAGGTCCTTTAGAAGGGTTTCTGATCATTCCACCGAGAAATCATGGGAATTCAATGAATTCTGGTTGAAGGGGCTTGGTTTTTCGCTTTCTCAGTTCTACATTTTAGAGAAAACATGCTTCAATTCAATGTTTGTTTCTACTATGTTGTTAAATCATTTTAGATGAGCTTATTGGTTTGAAATGATTGATCGTTTCAGGTGCATCTTGGGGTGATTTCTGGAGGAGACAAAAGCCTTGGCAAAGAAAGGTAGCTTTCCTTGGGGGGTTGGAGATTCAATTCGAGAAGTATATACAGTTTCCATGCCATTGTTTCCAACAGACAGTATACTCAGCTTCAACTTTGCAGCAAAAACAACCTGATCCATTCTGAAAGCAATCCAGAGAGGTATAGGAAGTTAAGAAGTATAATGAAACTAAAAATTCAAAATTTTCAAGGTTTTCACTTTTTGAAATTAGAGAAGACATACATGATTTTCTAAGACTTCAAGTGTTTGTCTGTTATAGTGACACCAACTAAGGAGTTAATTTCATGCCACCTATGCTGTAAGCAACTGTCCTTTAATTGATTTGATTATTTATCAGTTGTTTATTCTTAGAGTTTTGTGACGGTTGAGTTTCATGGAAAAAGTAAAGCTTTCCATCCGAGATCATTTTGCAGCTATGTAAGTTGAGTACTTGCTGTTGCTGATACAAGTTTACTCCTCTTATCTCAATATTTTCTCATCCTTGGTTACTTGGTTTTGGTTTACCTGAGCATGCTCTTAAAATCATTGGTTTTCGATTTACTTGCAGTAGCTTTCTATTACAAATCCAGTTGTTTGATTTTATAAAACAAAAATGAGGCCATTATACTTCCATTATGAATACCATTTTTTGTTTTTGTTTTTTGAATTTTGTTTAAAATGGACAAAGGCTTGGTAGTTCAGTCTTTTGTCTGTCACTCTCAGTTATGTAGTACAGCTTTATTGATTTACCTCTCTTATAAGCAGCTCTTCATCTTCCCGAATATCTAGCCCACTCATTTCAGTGGGTCTTTTTAGGAGTTCTTTGCTTCAGTGTGACCTCAATACGTACTTTTATCAGTGAACTACGAGTAGACTTGAACTTCAACTCTAATCGTATGTTTGTTCTGCCTTCACACGGTTTGTGTTTATCTTTCTTAGAGAAGCTAGGAATAAGATCTACCTGTTGGTGCTTTGTAGCATCTTTTCATAATCTCAAAAGAACTTATGATATAGCTTTATCCCTGTAGCTTCTATAGCGATTTGAAGTATGATTGCCAAATTAAGACTGAAACACCAGATACGAATTACACATTAGATGGAAACTGTGCATTTGCTTTAGTTATTTTCCCTATTGAGCTGTGTTGTCATCATGAATTCCCTACAATTGTCTAGTTAAGTAGGTTATTTGCCAAGTTCATTTGGTTTTGGTTGCTCTTAAACAATGTTTAGTTGTCTGGTTAAGTAGGTTATACACAGTAACAAGTGGAAGCTGCCTTTTTGGTGAGATTACAAATGTTATTTGCTGCTTAGTTAGGTTTACGTATCTCATTTGAGAATCTCTTAGACGTGGCAACTGTTTTTCATTAAAGGAGAAGATACATTGGACCAAGAATGTCAATGAGCTGGTGAGCATTGAGGGTATTCCTAGAACAAAATCATTGTGAGGAAGTGTCCATCATTATCAAATGTATCTTCGTCGATAACTCAGCAGGCAACCAAACAAACTGAGCTCCTGACGATGTGGTTTGGAGAGAGGTGTGGATTGATTATGTATGAAATAATGAGTCTCATCTGTAAACATTTATTTCTTTGGGGATAGGTTTGATATAGAACTTACAAAGCTAATGAAGAGTTTATGCGGTCATTAAGGTAACTCTTTTTGGCTTATGTTTTGTAAATAACATTGTGAAATATTTTCCTTACGGTTGTATATGTTGTAAGGGTGCTGAAAATTTATTTTGCTCCTAACTATTGTAGGCTTATCTCCATGCACCATGCAAGATTATCAACTATTTGTTCACGGCTTATTTGAAATGCATTCTTTTTACTTTGCTTCTCAATGGTACTGAGTCGGTATGGTTTGCTATTGTGCTTATTTCAATTGTGCGTACAAGATTAGCCATTTTCCTTCCACAAGATATGGAAAGCAACTAATATTTAGCACTTCTTCATTGCTGCAAATAATGTCCCTGCGGCGTAGCCATTGATCCTAGTTACCATTTAATGTCAGAAAATCATGGCTTCACCTTCACTTACTACCTTCCTCTTTATTTTCCTTGAGATGATGAATTAGACTGTTGCATTTTTCCTCTGATCATGGTTCACAAGCAAGGTTGTTGAAGCTTTCAAACATTTAATCTTTAAAGCTTAACTGGTAGCAATTGTCCAGGCCCTTTGGTGGTTTGTAACTGGAAACTAACTGAAGCTTGGAAAAAGGAGGCTTTTGACCGAGCAAGGGTACCTGGTGAAGAACATACTGCACAGTTGGTTGCTGAAGAAAGGGGTCTGCATTGCTGCATCCAAGCCGACGCGAGAGATCTTTTGGAAGGTAAAACCTCCAGAGAGCTTGAAGTGACCAAATCGGAGATCGAGCTGCTGCTGAGTTCTGGAGAAGCAAAGGTGGTCGAGCATTGGCAGGCTGGCCTAAAGCGACTCCAGATTTACAGGGCAAAGGTATGTTGATTGCTCAAACTTCAGTACATATTCTTTGTTGTTGTCCTCACCATATGTCTCAATGGTCATTGGGTGACATGGTGTGCTGAAATAGGCTATTCTGAAGGAGATTCATGCTAAGGGGTTGCAGATACATTTGAACCGTCCTTAACCAACTGCAGAAGTTGTTGATAAGTCGAAAAGCGGCCATGATTTAAGACCATGATTTAGGTTATAAATTGAAATTGTGGTGATTATTCTTTCGTGAATATGTGGAAGTGTAGGTCTAAAATTTGTTACTCTAAATGTGTAGGTGGTTAGTGATAATTCTGCAGAAAATTCATCAGCTCTGCTTGGTTCTTCTGGAGGTCTAAACCGTACTTTTCTCTCTATTAGAAAATTCATCAGCTCTGCTCTGGTTCTAGCGTCAAGTTTTGGTGGCACAAAATGAACACTCTTTTCAATTAGAAAAAGTGCACCTCGGAGGATATGGCCAAGCAGGGATTTTGTCTAATTAACTATTCCATTTGCCATCAACCAGTGACCCCAAAACTTTTCTGAGCCATCGATTTCCCATCAACAAAATCATGACTCCATCGGCCCAATGTCCTTCTTCTTCACAAAGAACCATCATCTGCCAGCCATTCCCTGCCCGCCATCCTACAATTAAAAAAACCAAAAACAACTCCAGCCATCCTTGCCACCACTGGAGATGGCGCTGAGATCTCCAGTGGCCGCCGCTGCGAAGCTCTCCGTTTCTGCTGCTTCTTCGCCTTCAACGTCGTCTTCACCTCCTTCTAAGCTCTCATTACCGAGGAGGCCCACTGCACAGTCCCGACGACCCATCTCCGTGTCACTCCCAACTTCCACCACCATCTCGCTCCTGGGTCTCTTCTCGACTTCCTTGGAAGCTCGAGCAGTCGCCGTTTCCAAAGACCAGATCGCCTCTTCCCTCACTGAGGTTCTAACTTTCATTTCTCTCTCAAAGCTGGAAACAAAATGGAATCTTCCTTCTTACTGTCTTTTGGGTTTATAATTTCTGCCCAATTTGTTGAATGGTATCTCTGGGGGTTCTGTGTTGTGTTTGGTAGGTAGAGAAGACGATTGAGCAGGCTGTGGAAGTGGGTTCGGGTGTTTTCGACACTACCCAGCGCGTTTTCGGCAGTGTGATTGATGCGCTGAAGCCGGCGATCGAAGCGGCGGTCCCAATTGCGAAGCAGGCCGGCGAGCAAGCAGTGAAGATTGCCTCTCCGGCTGTTTCTGAGATCTCCAGGAAGGCCCAAGAGGCCATTCAGAGCACCGGCATTGACACCCAGCCTGTAGTTACTGCCGCCAAGGTTTGTTCCAATTTCACCTTACATGTTTTGAGTAGATTTGCCATTCATGAACTCTCTGAATCTTTTTTTTTTTTCGATGAATGGGTGCATTGTGCTTTATTCATCTGATACTATCTGTACAGCAGTACATCTGATACTATCTTATACATCAATGATAAGGACATGGACATCCCAGCAAACACAACTATAATGCACTTTCTGAATCTTGATTTCAGTAAAGCTGCAACTAATGTGATTATAAGTGTTAGATTCAAAGCTCCATTTAACTTGGGGAGCAATCAATTAGCCGTTTGAGAGACTTGACTTAAAAGCTGATTGCTTGTTTCCAAATGCAATTTATGGTTCGGTTGCAGACTGTGGCTGGTGTTGCACAGCAGTCCACCAAGGTGATTGTAGAGGCGAAGCCTATGGCTACATCAACCTTTGAGACCATATCGTCCACTGACCCTGTTGTGCTAGTTGGAGCTGTTGGAGCAAGTTACCTTGTCTACTTGCTCCTTCCTCCGATATTTTCCGCTTTATCTTTCAACCTTCGTGGCTACCAAGGTTTGATTGAGTTCGTTTCTTCCTTTTTTTCTCCATGTCGACCTCCATTGATGTTTTTGTTGTTTTTCTTCAAGCTATGTCATGGATAGCTGACATTGCTGGCTAACTATAGGCGAGCTCACTGCTGCACAAGCGCTTGATATGATCTCCACCAAAGACCATATCATGATTGATATCCGGTCGGAAAAGGACAAGGACAAAGCTGGCATTCCACGCCTACCCTCCAATGCCAAGAACAAGATGATCTCCATTCCGTGAGAGTTTGATCTTTTTGCTCTCGATTTCTAATATTCCGATGATGCTCTACTGAAACCAAGAGGAGCCTTTTTCTCTGCTCATTGTTTTGCAGATTGGAAGAAGTGCCAAGTAAGCTGAAAGGCCTTGTGAGGAACACAAAGAAGCTAGAAGCTGAGCTAGTAGCATTGAAGATCTCATTCCTTAAGAGAATCAATAAGGGATCCAACATCATCATATTGGACTCGTGAGTTTCCCAAGAAAAGCTCTTATTTTTTCTATGGTCTCGAAAGTTCCCCTTTTATGTACCTTGTTTACCAAGAAATGGTTTTTTCCAGGTACGCGGATTCAGTGAAAACGGTTGCCAGAACACTGACGAGTCTTGGGTTCAAGAAGTGCTGGATTGTAGGAGATGGGTTCTCAGGAGGCAAAGGTTGGCTGCAGAGTCGTTTGGGGATAGATTCTTACAATGTATCCTTTGCAGAGGTCATCTCGCCGTCTCGAATAATCCCTGCAGCTGCCAAACGGTTTGGTACTACCACCACCAAGTTGCTTCCAGGAGGAGCTGATTAAGATTTGGATGGTATTCCTCTCTTTCGTTTGGGCTCTGTATGGAATGGTATTGATTCTCTCCTGGTCTAGTCTAGTCTAGTATAGTCAACTGAACAACGTTGAACTCGTGTAGATTCTTGTGAATGCTTTAAAAATTCCTGTCACTTAATTCTTGTGTATCCTAAATTAAGAGCTCTTGATTAAGCATCTAATATTAATACTTGGTACTTAGTTCTTGTAATTGGAGTATCGCCAAATAAGAAACTTTAGACTGAAATCCCCTTCAACAAGGTACAGCTCGTCTTACTTCAGAGAAGAAATCATTATCTCCCCTCAATGTAGGGAATTTTACTTCCCTTGTTATCTCTAGGCTCTAGCCCTTGGAGCTTCAGTTTCTCATTAGCTAAATATGTTAAGGATATGAGGAACATTGCATAAAAATGAAGGATGTGGATTGTGAAGAACCTTTGTGGACTTGCCAAGAAGGTTTGAAAGGGAAGTATGAGGTACAACACGCATAATAACACAAAGGTGAACGTCAGATCGTAGTCGAGCTATTGATAAAATGGGCATGTTATTTCACTAAATGGGCAGCTCTAGTGAACTTCCATTAACAACTCCTTTACTTAACCTATATGTATAGTCTCTACAATACTCAACGAACCACCAAGCGGGCATTGTTACCATCTCTTTGCATAAAAAAAAATAACAAAACAAAAAGTGTAACGACAAAGGTAGTGAGAGATTCAACTATGAACCCAACTAAAGGAAATGGGATAACTAGTGAGAGTATCACGGTCAAACTACAATTTTAGAAAAAAAGCCTGATTTTAACCACAGTTGAACTATGATTTTAACACAAAATACTATTGTTTCGAAATCCGGGCCGAACCGTCCAGCCAGACCGGGAAAACCCAGACCCGGACACTAATCCGGTCCCGGAAGCCTCAAAACGGAAATTTTCAGTGTTGGGTCACAGGCTCACAGCACACTTTCCAAAACCAAATGGCGCCTACCTTTTGCGTTTCTTTCCATTAAAAATTCAAAATAAAATAAAAGGGAAAGAAATCAATTGGCATTCCCTGCCATAAACCTAGCAGCCACCTAATTTCTGCCATACTATGATACTATAAAAAAAAAAAACCTAATTTCTGCCAAATCTATCTATTCTTCTTCTTCGTGAGACTAGAGTGATTATATAATTATAAAGAAAGCAAAACAATAAAAGTAATTGTTTTGCAATTTGCACCTCTAGCTCGAACAAGTAGCACCGGTTTATGACTGGTTTTTAATAACGGTTAATCAACGGTTATTCGATACCTTGAACCTCTTGCTAATCCGGAATAATGTCTTGTTCGGTTTTGACAACACTGCAAAATACTCTAAGGCTAACTTTTCCGGTACGACCTTATGTATGGTTTTGCAATTTTTGATTTTCTGAACATAATTAGAGGCTCGGGTCGGAGCAACGTGTCAAGTCCGATTTAACCACGTTTGAACTATGATTTTAGAACAAAATAATCTAATGCTAACTTTTTCTGTACGACCTTCAGTATGATTTTACAATTTTTTTCTTCTATTTCTTAAATCGAGACTCGGGTTGGAACAACATGTCAAGCCTGATTTTAACCATGGTTGAACTACGATTTTAGAACAACATACTCTAATGCTAACTTTTTCGGTCCGGCCTTAGGTATGGTTTTACAATTTTTGTTTTTTCTAAACATAAATCGAGGCTCGGGTTGGAGCAATGTGTCAAGCCCGATTTAACCGCAATTGAACTACAATTTTAGCACAAAATATCCTAATACTAACTTTTCCGGTTTGATTTTGGGTATGGTTTTATAATTTTTGATTTTTCTGAACATAAATCGAGACTCGAGTTCGAGTAACATGTCCAGTCTAAACAAACAGTTGTTCCCACTTACGTTGCCATTTGAGAAAGGAGCTGCAGGTATAGGTGTCAAAACATGACCCGACCCGAGTAACCCGCCCAACCAACCCGATCCGCGACCCGCCCGCAACCCGATTGGACTAAAAGTCAAAGACCCACAACCCGCCCGACCCGTAACCCGCTTGACCCGCAACCCGCCCGACCCGTAACCCGCTTGACCCGCAACCCGCTTGACCCGAACCCGATTGACCCGCAACCCGCTTGACCTGCAACCCGCTTGACCCGCAACCCGACTAACCCGAACCCGATTAACCCAACCCGAACCCGCCCGATTGGCACGAGTAATACTACATAATATATTTTTGTGCATAAATATTATATGTAGATAATATATATATAAAGTTTATGTGACTTGCCCTATTATTTTTTCTTCTTTCCCACCAAGAACAAATGCTTACTTTGTGTTGACAAATAAAAACTGCCATTCAGTTGAACCAAGTAAAAATAAGTTCGAATTGTAACAAAAAAATTGCGTGGACTAGATCGATGCTGCCTCTCCGCCTGCCCATTGTCCCCTGTCACACCCTTTCACCAAACCAAGGTTGCGGCGCCGAAAAAGCAATAGAAAGATCGAGCAAAACCCACATCGACTGAAGGTTGTCGAAGCCGGCCTGAAATTCCCTCCTCTGCCTCGTCAGATCGTGGTCGTCCAATCTCTTCATCGTTCATCACTGAAACCCCGAAAAAATCCAAAACATGCAAGCACCAAGCCGAACAATTGGAACTCTCAAACCCAGAACTCGACCCTTTGAAACCCAAAATATACAACCCTCAAACCCATAAATCAAAACCCTCGAAATCCATTCAACTGGCCTCTTTTCATCCTCTAAATCGAGAAAATCAAGAAATCAACATCGGTCTTCTTCGATTTGGGGAAGCGCAGGTGAACGAGCAGGCAGAGGTTAAGGAAAAATCCCCAGATCAAGCGCTGGAAAGACAGATCGAGTGGTGGATCTTCTCCTGTTGCTCTCCCGCTCAGAGAAAGACAGATCGAGCGGCTGATCTTCTTCGGTTGTTCTCCAAGGTGGCGAGCGATTCCTGGAGATTGAAGGTGGTGGCGATTGCTTGCTGCTCGATGAAGAGGAGGTCTCGATGGCGGCAGGGGAAGCGCCGGAGAGGAGGAGAGAGGGCAGGGGAAGCATCAGAGATGAGGAGAGAACACATGGGAGGAGAAGAGGGTTGCTGGGTTTGTGTTTGTTCGTTGGAGAAGAGAGAAGGCAGGGGAGGGGGAGAGATGGGCACAAGGGAGGAGGATCGTGATATGTTGGGTCTCGGAAAATGAGTAAAGACTAAATAATAAAGGAAATTGGAATGGGTGGCAAATGAAAATTAGAATGGTTGGGGTGAAATTTTTGGGCGGGTATGGAAATTTGGCCGCTAAAATTTTGGCGGTCATTTAAAACACTAATAAATTTGGGCGGTAAGTGGAATTGTGTCGGTTCAGAACAAAATCGATCAAAAGCAACAATAGTTGTGTCGGTTACAAGTAAAACTGACTCAAATATGCTGAAAATTGTGTCGGTTTAATTTTAACCAACGTAAAATTGGAGAAAATTGTGTCGGTTAAGTAACCGACACAAATCTTCGACACAAAATAGAATTTTAGTGTCGGTTAAGACCATTTTTTAAATTTATTTTATGTCAACGTATACATAAAATTCACTTAATGTATAGCATAGTTAGTAAAATACGATACGGGAAAGTTACGTATAAAATACTTATGGGTATTATACTTTGTCTCTTAGTTAATGTTATGTTTAATAGTACGTTAATAGTTATAAATATATAAAACTAATTACTTTTATAAACAAATCAATATGTAAAAAATAGTAAAGTTAATAATTCATTTCATTAAATACGGATATTAAACGTGTTATTAAACGGAGTATTTACTAACTATGATGTATAAGGTATACGGTAGTGGACTTGTGGTTTAGAGTTCGGAGGATTAGGACGTATGTTCTTCTCAATAACTGAATACAAAATTGACTTAACTAACATTCTTCACATATCATACGTTATAATTTATACTTTATACCAACAATTTCATAACGCATAACTATAGTTCATGGTTTAAGGTTAGTGTATATGGTAGTGGACTCGTGGTTTAGAGTTTGGAGTCATAGGACGTATGTTCTTCTCAATAACTGAATATAAAATTGACTCAACTTACATTCTTCACATAACATAAGTATAGCTTATACTAACAATTTCATAACATATAGCTATAGTATAGGGTATAGGGTCATTGTTTAGGGTTAGGGTTTAGGGTTAGGGTTTATGGTTTATTCATGGTTATGCTTTATGTTGGATATTTTGATTTTTATAGTTTATTAATTAATTGAATTTTAACAATTAGTTTAACTTGTGAATGTACATCTTAAATATATCATATTCAAATGGCAGACCAACGGATCGAACAACAAACTAGTTAATCGGTATAAAATTTATCATAAATAATAATAAATATCAAAGAAAGGAAGAACTAGATGTTTATGGAAATTTTTTGAATGCAAAATTCAAAACCCCCAAATATTTTCTCAAAAATTCCCTTGCAAACCCATTTTTTTTTAAAATCCCTCCCATAAACCCCCTTCCCCCAATATTTGATCCAAAATTGAAAATTCCCTCCCACATCCCCCCAATATTTAATCCAAAATTGAAATTTCCCCACATCCCAACCTAATTGCCGCCCACAGTTATATGAAAAAAGACAATTTTGCAGAATTATGTTAGTAGTTGATTAAAATGTGATCATTTTGAGGAATTATGTTAGTAGTCGATAAAAATGTGTTGCTTATTCACAAAAAAAAAAAATGTGTTGTTTATCTAGAATTATGTAAGTAGTTTATTAAAATGTGTTAATTTTGTATAATTATATTAGTATTCAATTAAAATGTGTTGATTATCTAGAATTATTATAGTAGTCAATTAAAATGTTTTAATTATGTATATTAGTTAGAAAAGTATAGGGATAATATTTATAAATATGTGAACTATTGAAAGTAGTCGAAAAACTATAGGGAATTAATTGTACACAATGTAGAAGATAGAATCTTGTTTGATTGATTATGTAATTCTTTTCTTTTCGTTTCTTTTTTTCACAAGCAATGGACGTCAGGGCTAGAAGAAGCAAAATTTGGGAGAATTTCACTCAAGTTGAATCAGAGGGGGAGGTCAAGCTTCAATGCAACCACTGCATGAAGGTTTTTGGATGCTGTCCTAATAAGAATGGGACAGTTTCACTGTGGAGGCATCTTAAGATGTACAATAAGAGAAATCTTCAAGATTAATGGAGCCTTATGTACTTTTCTGTATTTCATTCTATTGTATTTGCTTAAACATCATGTAATGGTCTCAACTATCAAGACTCAAGA